GACGAGGGCAGAGGCCAGGCACTCACCGGCCAGATGTTCTCACTGGGTGTCCCCAGCAGCTGTACAATCAGATCCACCTGGTGGATCTCAGAAGTGCCGGGGAGCAGGGGCTTGTGAGCCAGCAGCTCGGCCAGGATGCACCCCACGGCCCTGCAGAGGAGAGCGGGCCTCACTTCACGCACCGGCTCGCCGTGGCCACACACCTCCGCCGAGTACCACTTTGACGTGAGCCGCTGAGGGCAAGTGCCGCCCTTCATGCCTCCCACGTGCTGGGGTCAGGACCGGCTGGAGCTCGGGAGGTCACCATGGAACGTGACCCAGTGCCAGATGGCCTCTGTGGGTGGCGAGGGCCGGGCCTTTCTGCTGCAGAAGCGATGTTCTCACACTTCCCCTTGGGATCCCAGGTTTCTCCCCACCAGGAGCTGGCAAAGACCCGAGCCCTGCTCTGGCCCCTGCCGGCCTCTCCCCCAGGCTCTGGGAGCTGCCTTCACCCCTCACCACATGTCAATGCTGGTGGTCTGCGTGGTAGTTCCCAACAGCAGTTCGGGGGCCCGGTACCTGCAAAGAGAAATGCACTCTGCAGTCAGCCTTCCTGAGAGCTGGCCTGGGCGACCGGATGGCCAACCCCAGCTCAGGCCCCCTCTTCCCCGCAGTGCTGCAAACGTGGACGGCACGCGCGGTCACGGCAGCTGCTGCTGGACAGCCCCTGTGAGCAGCAGCGAATTCTCTATGCCACGCGGGGGCTGGCTGACACATGGCAGAAGGTGTAGGATTTCCACGTCCTCTCTGTAACCACAACCCTGCTGTGCTTCTTAAAAACACGAGAAGCAACTCCAGAAAGCTGCGTCACCCACCCACCCTTCTGTCTGAATCAGGCTGGGTGTCCGGCTGCCTCGGGCAGGGCGGTCTCACCAGCCTTTGCTGTCATCTTGCTGTCTCAGGAAGTGTCCTAGACCCAGCCTCCAGGAGTATGTGCAGCCCTCTGGGGCTTCGAGACCCTCAGGGTCCTTCTGCAGCTTTGGCCTGATCAGTGCCCCACACTTCCCTCCACCAGGGACACCTCGTCCCGACAGACTCACCAGAGCGTCACCACCTTGGGGGTCATCGGCTTCACTGGGATGCCATAGGCCCGTGCCAGGCCAAAATCCGCTGCGACAAAGGCAGAAAGACGAGGAGACAAGGGTCACCGGGGGAGGGCTAACGAGCTGCTGTGTGGGAGCCAGCCCTCAGCCTTTAGGGTGCTTGTGAGGACTGACCTGCTCCCCTGCCCAAGTGGCCACACCTCCCACAGAGCCAGCGCCCTGCACCCACCTGTCTTCACACAGCCTTTGTCAGTCATGAGCAGGTTGGAAACCTTCAGGTCCCTGTGACAGAAAGTGATCACTAGTTCCCAGGAAGTGAGCTCCATGGGGTAATTACGTTGTCTCCTAATTGTATGTCCCAGGCACACTCAAAACACTTTTCCTCCACATCCTCTGTTGGAACTTTTTAAAGTTTACTTATTTTTAATAATCTCCACACCCAATGTGTGGATTGAATGTGCAACCCTGAGATCAAGAGTCACACGCTCTCCTGACTGAGCCCATTTGAGCTTTCTGGGCACCCCCGTTTAAAACT